TTTCTAGGACCGTCGGCACCGGTCTCGCGGGTAGAGGCGGCGGTGGCGGCGGATCCTGGGAGTTGTCAGGGACGGGATGATAGAATCCCGGCGCTGGACTATGCGCGGGTCCGTGAATTCACGCGGGTCGAACTTCCCCCGCCAATGATATTCTCGTTGCATGCGCTTGATTGCCTTGTCGCGGCCGGCGCGATTTCCCTTTGGCATCTACGATCAAGGGCGCGGTGAGTCTAATTGTGCTTCGGGGAGTGTCGTAGGAGATAGTATGAGTAATGGTAGAAATCTTAATTCTTACAGCGACAGTCGGTTCGAAATAGGATGAGCGGTAGGGGGCCCTGAAGGGGGCTCTTGCTCTCCGCTCGGAAGGCTGCCAGGGCTCTGTTTTGAGCGGCTGGGGGCCTGGGTTAGGATGCCCTGGAGGCCCTGAGAGGGGCTTCCAAGAACGGAGTTCGAGGAAAGAGATTCTTTTTTTTAAAGGATTGTCACGAGTGCAAAACTGCTGTATATCCACTGTGACGATTTCGCCACAGAACGTGGCGAAATACTAAAATAACGATAGCGCAATCATATTATTGTCAATATGATATGTAACCCAATTATTATAATAAAAGGGGTACTCGACCGCTGACTAAGAGATTGCGCGGACGCTGGCCTCGTCTGAGTAGAACGCTGACGAGGCTATACGGGCGACCCAAAATATCAAATATAAGCGCGACTCTATCGGCAGTCGTGGGTCAGATAATCGGTCAGATTCATAAACGTAACTCTTCGCGTCGCGCCGTTCGAATCATTATAATACTTATATCGCGACGCGAATACCGAATAGTGCAAGGTGATTGTAGATCAATACCACTTGTGTGTGAGAATAAAGATATTTAATTAAAGTGCTACATTGCAAGTGTTATTTCATTCGACCGTTCCTCGAGTCCTAAGTGGATCCCGAACCCGTGCCGTACAGCGGCACAACAGGATGCCTTGGCGGCCCTGAAAGGGGCTTCCTAGGCTTGTTGTAAGGCCACTGTCGCTCCGGACGATAGGGAGCCTGGCGCGGTTCTCATACGCCACTACGCGCAAGGCTTCCTGCTCCAGATTGGCGAAATCTTAACGATGATCAGACGACACAGACAACACAGACACTTTGAGCCGCTTCGGTTATTCGCGGGAGAAGGGATAATAATAACAAAAAAAAATATAAAGAAATAGAAGACTAAAAGTTTATTTGATTATTGTTTCAAAAGTAAATCAAAGAACTAATAACGTATGTGTGTAATTGCAGAGATTAATTGCACGCGATTATCTTTGCAGAAGGCGAGGCAGTTTCCGCAAAATAATTATTTACGACAAAACTAAACGGAGAAAAGTGCGACTAAACGGAAGTGCCACACGGAACTCACTTTGCGTCGCGGTGTTGCTCGACTATCCTTGCACGTCCCTGTTACGGAGGGTGGCCCTCGAGATGTTCGCGTTTGAGCACCTGCCCTCAAGAGAACCTTCTGAGGAAGACCAGAAGTCCAGCTCTCGCACTAACACTCTGATTTCGATTCTAACACTCTAATACTGAACTAAGTGAGTCAAAACTAGGCGAAAACTAAGCCGAAACTAAGCGATTTTCCGTCTTTGGAGTGCGCTTTTATATCGTTAGAAGCGGTGGTGCTGAGCGGGAAAGGGGGTTGACCTGTCAACAGTTACCGGAATCTTTTGAAATGTTCTAGAACTTTCGATCTAATAAGATTTTATTAGATTTTACTGTTTTAAAGGGAGAAATTGCCGAATTTAAATGTTGACAGGGCCCTCTTAGTCGCTCCGCCCCTGTGCTGCATAATGTGCAGTCGCTGTGCGCGTTTATTCGCGTTACATTCCGCCGAATGATGTTTTCCCTTTTTTATGTATAGAGTTCGAATGCAGAGCGTTCGTGCGTTATTTGTATCGCGAAGCTTCTAACGGACTTCCGCAGGTTAGAAGCTTTTGGTGCACTTGCGGATGCGATTCAGCTACGTATTCTCGAACGTAAGCGCAGTATTAGCCGCTTTATGAATCGGCGCAGTCAAATTTGCAATTGCAATTATGGAATTTAAATGAACTGAATTTATAGATTAATTGGGAATACTGCGATAGATCGAGAATACCAGCGAGCCTCTTAGTTCCCTATGGATTTATTATTTAGTTTTATGGGGTGCTAATTCGTCTCGCTATTGATTAATTTGGATTTTCACGCGATTAATTATATTGGGTCGCGCAAGCGCAGTACGGTTTTGTAACAGCTGTTTGATCACGCGCTAACCGCGTGATCACGGTTCGCGAGAATTTCGCGGCTGTCGCGACAGTTCGCGTTGTCACGGCAACGCGTCTGGCGTCGTTAAAAGTGACGTTCGCCTGCGGGCAATTTTCGGCGGACGTTACATGTATTATTATTATTATTATTATTATTTTAATTTACATTTTATATATATCTTTTTTTATATTTATATACATATTATATGTTATTATGTATTACTATCATTATAATTTACACCTCTTATATGTATAAAAAAATACACGAATTAAAATTGTATCGAATGACATTGTTTTTTTCATGTATCCACGAATTGTGCGATCCATCGAATCCCAGCCACTTGACGTACACCCTATCTCCTTTCCTGCGTACTACTTTCTCCACGTCTGGAGATACACGTCCGGATGAATAGCGCGATGCAACTCATGCTCGTAAAACGCTTCAGCGATAGATCAATCACTCCTTATTAGTCAGTCAATTGGCAAATTAGTCATTTTCAACAAAAAGAGTTATAAAAATGTATTCAGTCAGTCAGTCAGTCATGTAAAATCTATGATCCTCGCGAGGTTTGGAGATGCAGTATAAATATTCTATTTACAGTCTAGTGTTTTAGGCTCAATGCAATTGCTCACACTTTTTCAAAAGGATACTTTACCGATTAATCCCACACATTTTTCACTAATAGTCCATCAGCAGTTCGATACCAATATCTATTGAACGCTGTTCTCTAGATACTTAATAATGCCACGAAGAAGTGAGATATAAAACATCGATGATGTAAGTATAGCAGATAAAATGATTACGTTCTTCGTTATGTTTTTCCATAGTACATATATCGTGTTGTCATCTCTTACGTATATAGATACATTCATATATATGGTACATACATACATATGTACATCATATGTATACATATATATCTCTCGTTACTAGGTCATTTCTTAACGCTCCCAACTGAAGTTTACGATTGAATAAAAAAAGCTTTATACACTGCCTATATATACAACACTGCATACATATATGGTGGTGTAATCTCTTACGTTCATACATACATACACGTAAATACATACAAGTTTATACATACACGTAAATACATACACGTTTATACATACACGTTCATACATACACGTTCATACATACACGTTCATACATACACGTTCATACATACACGTTCATACATTCACGTTCATACATACACGTTCATACAAACACGTTTATACATACACGTTCATGCATACACGTTCATACATACCCGTTTATACATACACGTTCATACATACGCGTTCGTATAAATATGTATGAACGTGTATGTATGAACGTGTATGTACGAACATGTTTGTACGAACGTGTTTGTACGAACGTGTACGTACGATATAGTAAAAGGGATCACATAGGAAGCTGCAATGAGAGAAAAGATCGTAAGTATAGAATGCACATTAGTCGCAACGGGCGGCATAATGCATTGAGAAAAAGATGGTTGGTATATGAGATAGCGCGCACGCGGCAGCGCTGCTTAATATCTCAATAATGCGCATAATGGTAACATTTGATAGCCGGATTGAAATATTTACAAGATGCTGCGAAACCAATACAAGGACAACTTTATAAGCGTTGGACTGCTAGCCGTCAGAATTTGCACGATGAACGATGTTACGCTCGTACGCCTTGATTCTTCGTCCGTACGCATGATGATGACCGAAACGACGCTACGCCGCATGTTCGCGTTTGATGGATGTAACGTTCGAACGATTAGTTCGACTCGTCGATACGGTTGATGTCAAGTATACGCGATTCTCCAACATCGCGTCCGAAGACGCTATACGCGATAGCTACTTCTTTAATAAGTATCAGCTCGTCGATTGCGAGCT